CCCTCCCGTTTCGGAAGGCAGAAATTTCCTCTGTGGGGTAAGTGTGGATCTTTTCTGGAATGACCTAACCCAATTTATCCCAATGGCCAATTGGCCAATTCCCAATGTATGATTGAATCACACAGGTCACATATTAAATGACATTCAACCCACAGGAAATATTCACAGGATCTTTGTCCTTAACTTTATAATGATCGCTGAGACGTGTTTGTGTATAAATTTACATTAATTCAAGGAATTTGTTCACGTATAACTAATCAATGATTACTAGAATCTTTAGGAGCCTTTGAACAAAATATATTGTGGTGAAAATTCCTAAAATATTTTTATAACCCCTAAACTGGCGTGATCACGTATTAGCAAAATTTAAGGATAAAATATAAATGCTATAGATTTTCATAATTTGCAACACTTATAGTCAATAAATTATTAACATATTAAGTACGTTTGAAACACAGTAAATACTATTTATTCGAGAAACTAAACATATATTTAACTAAAAACATATAATACGGTCTGAATGAGCTATCAAAGCAAGGTCATGCTTTAGTCATTAATACGTACATTGCATAATAAAACTATAAACAAAAATATTATTTCGTAGCTGTATCCAAAAATTGTAGAGTAATTTTAGAGTAAATAATACCTGACAGTTTAATGTGGACGTTTTTGTTGCTTTATTTGTCTTCAATCCCATATTTTCAATGTTTGAATTTATGAATGGCCAAAAGCACAACAGACCAAGGATAATATATTTATCCCACGCATCATCGCGCTTCCACGCGTGAAATATTTAGTGGTTACTATGGCAAAAATACTTCTTCAATGCAGATTTAATATTGTGCTGGAATAATGGAATTGTGACTATTTATGAATTGCCAGAAGCTTCTTAATAATTAAATAGGAATCAGTCGTTTGTAAATTACTCAATAGAACCTTATCTGGACTCAACGCAAGCCAGGCTCTTCATCTTGCTTCAAAAAATGTACTGGAAATAATAAAATTTACAAAGATTTTCTTTTTACGCACTATTTACAATAACACCGCTTGCTAAACTTAATTGCTTACATGAAGTATAATATTTTGCCAAAATCGCAGGCTCAGATTTATGTAATCAATGACAAAATGCACGTAATATTTATTTCAAAATGGCGACGTTCAGAGCGTTATGTTTTGGTCGAAATTTAGTGCAAAACAGTAAACTACCTTTAATCCAGGTAAATTGATTGTAGTACCACGATATATCTGTATTGTTGAAGAATTTTATTGTTAATATATTATATTTTTGTCCCAGATTTTAAGCAAAGACCATGCGATTAAATTTGAATGTTGATGTATTTTATACCATCATTTAAATATATTGCATTAAAATTCCAGGCAAAAGGCTGTGTTTTGACATAGCTTTGATTTAACATTTTGATAAATGTTGAAATGTTTAGTTTATTTTTCTACCTATAGATATCTGCGTCGGCATCCACGGCTACAAACACAGCAAAAAGAGCAAAGACATTTTCAATTTATCGTTGGGTAAGTATGAGAACTCCAATGCAACCCCAATGAAAAGTACTTTAACTCTAGTCTCTACTTACACCAACCCATTCTCATACAGATATATCTATTCTATACACATAATCATATGTATTCTTTCACTTTGAAAATATTCATAATAAAACGTGAACATTGAGATTTTATACTTACTTTATATTTTATACGTGTACCTATCAAGTGCGCCTGTGCCAATTTGCTGTATTTTAGATTTTTAGGACCTGAGGAAAGTCTACGAATGCAAGATCATGAAGTTCACTTAGAAACAATTTTTCTGTATTTTTTAGGATCCTGAAAAGCCTGGAGATAAACCACGAATGCAAGATTATGAAGTAGACTTAAACAGGTCCATGATGCCTACTTTTGTTATAACTTAATTAAACAAGACATTCGAACGACTAAACTCTTGATGGAAATTATAAGCAACAAAGCTAGACTGAAAAAATAATACAAATATGAATCAACAATAAATGTTAATACTATCCCGTAAATTTTTAGTTGTGGTCCAATGGTACTCGATGCTTTGATCAAAATTAAAAACGAAGTTGATCCAACCTTGACATTTCGAAGGTCGTGTCGAGAAGGTAGAGAGTTAGCAATTAGGCATTTATTTCAAAATCTTCGTTTTCATATGGAAAATTGAAGTTATTAAGCTTTATCTTAGGTATTTGTGGATCGTGTGCAATGAATATTGGTGGGAAGAATACGTTAGCGTGCATTTGGTAAGAATATGGGTCGTATTTAAGTGCGTTTTTTTTATATATAATTTTATGATATTAAAACAAACTGTAGAGCCAACAAGTTTTTGTCTTGTTCATTTAGTCGTATTGATGATACATCAACGAAAAAAGAAAAGATATATCCGTTACCTCATATGTACGTCATCAAAGACCTTGTTCCTGTAAGTGAATCATCTATTTTTCCCAGAAATATTAGTCCTATAAAGATTTGCATTTTTACTCATCATATACGTCTATTTGTAGGATATGACCCATTTCTATGAGCAATATCGTTCAATCAAACCATACCTAATGCGTAAAGATGACATGGAAGCAGGCAAGGAACAGCTGTTACAGACGGTGGAAGATCGCTCTAAACTGGTAGGTCTTGATTGTCTTTGAAGTATAATTTTATGAATTATAATTACGATATATTGAAGCTTGGTTACTTAGTTGCATGCACGTTCACAATTCTACGGAAACGTATAAAGATGAGAGGACAATGCTCCTCTGAAAAGGCTGTGGACATAGCAATCCCAGGACAGTGAAGAAAGACCACACAAAAAAATGGGAAGATAAAGTGAACGAAGACATGAAACTCCAGACGAAACTACTCTTGAAACGCGTGAACATAAATAATTCTAAATTACGACAGTTTCCGACAATGTTAAAGACAGGTATCAATGATGAATGAAACTCCTCTCCCAGCCGACGCCTTAAAGATGGGTAATAGTTTTAACAAGTATCTTTTTTAACATCCCTGCTAATACTTCTCGATTTGGTTTCGTTCTAGGACGGACTGTATGAATGCATCCTGTGTGCTTGTTGTACAACCTCGTGTCCAAGTTATTGGTGGCATGGGGAGAAATACCTTGGGCCGGCTGTATTAATGCAAGCATATCGTTGGATGATTGACAGCAGGGTATGTACATACACAAAAACGATACAGTATATTCATAGATAATCGCTATGCTATAAAAGGTGGCATCATATTCAACGATACAAGCTAACATTCTGTGGATTTTCTTGTCTTCCTTAGGATCACTATCAAAATGAAAGATTGGCGATGCTTGATAATCATCATAGTGTGTACCCCTGTCATACTATCATGAACTGCACCATGACGTGCCCCAAGGTATATCATTTCAAGTATTTACGCATTGAACTCACAAGGATAGATAACGGATACATTTCTTCGTTTAGGGTTTAAATCCTGGAGACGCTGTTGGAAAAATCAAGACAATGATGGCCTCTTACGAGAGACCGGCCGAAGCCAAAATTTGATTTATTTTTATATGCCCAAAATAATGGATTTGTAGCTGTATTTATTTAGCAACATCGGTTGAAATCGATGTACGAGAGATTTAGTTATAATGCATTATGTATGGCTCATGCCATCTAATTTTATGTACAAAAATATGAACGATAACACCAACACACAGCTGTTGTTATTTGTTGTTTTAATGTATTATGACCCAGTTAATATAACATAAGAGCGCATAAGAATGGCTGCTTAAGTCTGCCGCACTTGCCTGAGGTAACAATCTCATGAGGCCGTTTGCTCCACAACACTCTCGTATGGTTTCTCCTACGAACTTGACCTCGACAGGCTGTGAGACAAACATCTATGGTGTTTGATTTCTGAGAAACTCTGCCAATATACGGTTAGCTCAACCCATGCGCGTAGATTTTGTTTTGTGGAGGTAGTCAATCTTCAAATGGAGCAAAGGTACAGCCACTAACTCCATGCCTTGGTCTGTAACTCCAGAATTCTTATTTCAACTAATTTTGAGGCGCACATTTTGAATATATGGAGTTCTATGGCTCCCTAACTTCTGCAACCATGGCTCAGCCAATATGTTCAGTGGTCTTGATACTACAATTCTGAGCGCTCAACTTCCCGATGCCCTCCGGCATATGCAAATATATTTACCTGATATTGGTGGTTATTCAAAAAAACGTTTACCACTTAATAACAACTCTGTCTCATTCCTAAGAAAGAAAATACCATTTAATACGTACATTTGTAAAGTGTCAATGAACAAATTCTTCAATTGCTGAATTGCATAGAGTATTAGAGGGAATTAGTAATTACCTTACCTCCATTACCACATTTATTTCAACTCGCTTTTTCAATCTAAACTATATCTTTTCAACTTTAACATTTTTAAATTTTTTTTTCAACTTTAACATTCTTAAAAAAAATCACCTGTTTTGGAAATAACCCTCTCTTCTTGAACATACATTCGAAACGACCACTCATGCATATAATACCTTACTTCGTCAATACATAGCGTTCACCGTTCCCCTTCTTTTCATGAACGAAATTTCACTTTACACAAACTCACGAAATTGCCTGTCAAAATGCCTCACGATTCCTTTCAAAAACATTCTTCAATAGATACCGTGCACGTTTTACTCGTTCTTCCCACGAATCTTCTACATTCACTTGCCTACATTCATAAAAGCTTCCCTTTCCAAGAAAACTAGGTACAATGCACTGTTTTTCATCCATGTTTCAGCTTACACACACCACGTACTCACAACACCCTATCTTTTCAGCCTGCTTCATTTCAGTCAAACGTCATTAATGCATTATGCAACTTTTTTGTAATTACTAAAACCATTCGGTTTTCAAACAAAAACTAATTAACACTGTCGATATAATGGGGCCCTGCTATCTATAACACATCTAACTTTACATTCACTTACTATACATTCATTTACTATACATTCTTTTTAAGATTAATATTTTACTGAGAGATGGAGCCAAAAATGAAAACTCAAAAACAATCTCTTTCAACTGTTATCTACTTTCTTTACTTTACTGTACAACATACAACATTGAAGACCACATTAAAAAATACTGTCCACCTTTGTTCCCTCTCGTCTTTTTGTTCCCTCTAATAGGCTCAACTTTTTGCTGCATCACATGTTCACATTGCATACGCCTTTCACTATACTTCCACTACCACCTTTCACTACTTCCTCCATCCATCCCACTGGATCCTGTATGGCTAATTCCCATCCCATTCCCACCATTCATGCTGCTAACCATATGTGATGAAGGTATCCCACCACCTGGACTACTCATACCACTCATGTTCATAGGAGATCCCATACTACCTCCCATACCCCCAGCCATACCAGCTGCCATCCCTTGGGCCAGTGCCGCCATATTCCACATCGCGTTCATCTGATTGGCTAAAGAACTCGATCCACTTCGATCAGGAAAGCTACCATATGGTACCATGTTTCCAGCCCAAAATCCTCGCATTTCACGTGGGGTTGCTGGGCTTTCATGTGGACGACTCGTGCGGCTCTTACTTTGCGATTTGGGCTCTGCTGGTGTACAGTTAATGCGAGCCCCATTTATCATATGCACACGAGAAAGTACATTGCGGGCTGCTTCGCACGATGCAAATGTAACAAAACCAAATTGCCGATAAGGTTGGGGTAAATACACATCTGATAATGTACCATATTTTTCAAAATAATTTCGGACATCTGACGACGTGCAATTGCTCGGTAGTCTACCAATGAATATCTTTCTTGGTGAATCATCCTGGCAAAAGAAAGTAACATTTTAATGTTAATTAACATAGACAACAATTCTGATGAGCCTTTATCATGGTCATTTAATTGGCTGAATATGACCATGTAATATGAAATTAAAATTCCCATTTTGCTAGGGTTTAATTAAATTCAATCATTCACTAAATTCCTATTAAATTACTATTATACAATTACTATTTGGAATTAAAAATACCATATTTTTACGATAATTTTTTACAATAAATGACTGCCATTATCATATTAACTCTTCACTGAAACATTTGTTGTCGACTCATGGAGTGAAAAATTCCATCTTTCACCTCATGAAAATATTTTTACCATTGCACTCATAAACATTCATTATTTGTATACTAACCTTTCCCTTTGACAATCGGATGTCAACTCTTCGATCCAGAATAGTATGACTACGAGATAACACTGTTTTTGCTACTTCAGAGTCTTTGAAACGAATGAAAGCAAATCCTCGGGACTGGCCAGTTTGTATGTTACGTTTAACCTACATAAATGAATATTATTTAATTATAGTGATTGCATGCTTTTTACTCACAATAGACTTTTGCAGAAGTGTTAGTATATAAAGTCAAAGGGATGAGTGACTGAATGCTTTGGGTAACAATTCTATTTTTGTAAAACACTGCAAAGACAATGAAACATTCTGATTACCAGATTCTAACTGTACGTGCTACTGCTATTTTGTTACATAAAGGGGGGCTCAGTGGCTTGGTCATCAGAGCAAGCGCCGTTCACCTGAGTTTGTGTGTTCAATTCTCGCTGTGGACTCATGTGAAAAGAGTCGGTCAACGCTCCGCCTAAAGTCGTAGGTTTTCTCCAGGTGTTCCAATTTCCATCCACAGGGAAAGTTGACAGGGTGGGTTGGGATAAGCACAGTTAAGAAAGTAGTATCACAAGTGTTGTAAAAATAGATAGTCTTAGTCTAGGCTAAGTATAGAATTAGGTGAAAGTAATACTTAATGAATGATGTAAAGTGATTTTAATCGTATCCACATGTTAATCGTAAATAATCAAAAAGGTTGCCATGCAAATGAACTATTGCTTACTTCATAGTAGTCTAACTCTCCAAAACGTGAAAAATAATCATGGACATCTTCATCCTTAGCTTTCCAAGAGAGACCTAATATGATCATATCACTTAGTAATTCCTCGTCTGTTTCCATCTGATAGTTCTTCATTATTTTTGTATGTGGTTCTCGCCCAGTTGGTGATTCCTCATACTTTCTTTTTGATGAACTGTCCACTAAAGGTTTAACACAAAGGATTTACTGACACATATTTACCATCATGGGGAACATTTACAGATAAAACATTAAAAGCTTAACCAATTAAGCTGCATGTGCCCAAATGTGCAACCAACTTTTATTCTGTCTAACACCAGGCAATTTTACTCACCAAGGGGAGAGTGCTGGTACTCAATGGATTAACCAGACTATCCGACTACGTGTCTAGTTAAGCTTACACCATAAATTATGCACCTTACTTTATTATTTTACTCTTTCTAATGGCAGACAATTTTACTTGTCAAGGGAAGAGTGCTAACACTCAATTGGTTTATAATCAAACTATCTTAGTGTCTATGTGTCAAGTTATAAAAAATTAAGCTGCATTGCACCCTAATGTGACCTATCTACTCCTATTACAGGAACTGTAAGCTATGTGAAGCGTTCCTCTTTTGACTTCCTAACTAATTTGGAATTTTCCTCATTAGCTTTGCAAATACCTTGAGGGAATATGCAATGTTCCTATCGGCTGTTGCAATATTCCAATGCAAACAAACCTAATTTTAAATTTTCCTAACTTCATGTTTTAATTTCCTAACTTCCTGTTCTGTTCTGAGCGTTGTCATTGGTGGATTATTTTTGTTAGCCAATTGCAACGCGCAGAACACAACAAGAAGTTAGGAACGTGTAACAGGAAGTTAACCCATTGAGCCACGCAATGCACCCTACTTATTTTTTTTACTTGTCTAACGCCAGACAATTTTACTCGTCAATGGGTAAGCTTTGCAGCTTAATGGGTTAAAAACTTCTAACAGGGGCTGAGAAAATTTAATAGGCTTTTAGCAAATTCCCTCAAGGGATTTGCAAGAAAGTTTTTTTTAAATTGCAAAGGTAATGAGGAAAATTGACAATCAATTTAGAAACTCAAAAGAGGAACGCTTGGCGTAGTTTGCCTGTAACAAGCTTTTGTTGTTAGGGATGCAACTACCTGAAAAATATAAGGAGAATTTCAACATTTCGAGCGACGGCCCTTCGTCTGGAGGACCTTTGCTCGAAACGTTGAAATTCTCCTTATATTTTTCAGGTAGTTGCATCCCTACCAACAAAAGTTTGTTAATACTATTGGCACTACCTATAAGGCCAAAAAAAAAAAATGTGGGTTTCCGGTTTCCCGACCCTACCTAGCTTTTGGACGTCGAAATCCCGACCCTAAACTTTTTTATTGGATCATGGTTGTAAGTGCTTCCACTTAGAGGAAAAAGTTTGTGGAAAATTTAAATTTGAGGCAATATTAGGGAAATTTATTTTTGGATGTGGAAGCACTGACTAAACAAAATGGCGTCCGCTTGTTCGGAAAATTAAAAAAATAGTTTAAAAAAAAGAAGTTAAAACCGACCTACCCTACCTAAGTTTTTATAAGAAGAAACCGGAAACCCACATATTTTTTTTTTTGGCCTAACACTGGCACAGACAGTTCAAGACCATCTATTCCTACTCTCTGTCTAACACCTGACGATTTTACTCATCAAGGAGAATGACAATCACATACGTGCAACTCTGCTTCCTTAAGACGGTATTTTTATAAAAGCAATATCAGGGCAATTGGCAGAGGGCCATTCCATTTAATATCCACACCCCCTGTTGACGAGGTTCCTGATTTTAGACCCCTTCAGAAACGGTTTTCCGGAAGACACCCTCGAAAATTCGCTATTTTTTGTAGAACCCCCTCAGAAATTTACAATTTTTCTCAAGCCCCTCGGAAATAACTGTTGACGTGGTTCCACTATGATAGACCCCCTCAGAAATGTTCGGGAATTTATTGACCATCCCCTCAGAAAGTTTTGTCAACAGGTATACCTTCCTCCTTCCCCCCTCGGAAATTTTTAAAAAAATTTTAACCCCTTCGAAAATTACAAAAAAATGTTGACCCCTTTAGAAATTTTCCTTTCACAACCCCCCTCGGAAATTTCAACTTGGCACCCCCTCAGAAATTCAGAATTTCAGACCCCTTCGGAAAAACTAGTCAACAGGGGTGTGTGGATATTAAATGGAATGGCCCAGATGTTGGTATATTTATATGAAATGGAACTTTTTTTTAAAACGTTTATATCTGTAACATATTAATTAAACTACATAACTTGCTGAAGAAATACTATATTCATTAAATAAACAGCACTTACCAGGTTTATTCGAAACAACAATATAAAGAACATTTCCCCAGCCGCTCACAGGCGGATATAATACACCATCTGCAAGCCTGACACCTCGCCATGTTTGAGTCTCTTCGTTCCTGAATCTTAAACCCGTGCTACCTGGAAATTGTGCTTGTATTGTAGACAGTAAAATTGTTCCATCTTCATCGCTGGGCAGTTCTATAACATCCTCGGGAACGTGTTCGTCCTCAGCGACTCGAATATAATCGCACATCGCCAAAGTTTTAAAGCAACAGATTTAAAAGAGAAAGTTTCAAAAATCAAAATGGCCAAGCTTCCGCTTCGCTCGAATTTGTTTGTATTGTCACGTGATTGAGGATAAATGGCGCGAAAACTAGGTACGAATTTACGCAAAAGGCGGGAAAACAATTTTTGAATTATTTTCATACTTTGTTTTTATGAATTTAAACTTTTCATTCAATGAACAGCTCGCAATGAATTCGAACTATTACCAAAACTCTCTCATTACCTATAGAAAATTCGCCAACAAATTGCCTTTCTGAATTCGTACTAAACATGTTTAATTAAATAAAGCTCTCTCATATTTTCGCGCCTTTTTTCACCGCTCGCGTGCATCGCTATCAACCCCTTGAGAGATCAGAGATGGACTTGAACCAAGTCTATAAAGCAGAGTTGGTGCGGCGAGGAATCGTACCTACCGACTGACCTATCGTCACCTTGTGTTAAAATTGCATGCGCAAAGAGTCATAACATCGCCGCTTTTTGAAGATGGCTAATAATGTTCGTAATTTGATCACTCATAAAATACACAAAGTACAAAATGCGTGGTTTGTGTCAATTGATACCTGAAAAGGTTTCGATCATAAAGTTAGAAAGATTGATTGATCGAAGTGTTTTAATTTTTTCACTTAGACCACACAAACCACGGCAGATTAGCAATAAAATACCGTTATGTGGTTTGTTCCACAAGCAAGTATATATGCGCGTTGGGTATTATGAGCTCCATCTTGCATGAGCCCAATCTGAATTTGGACTTTTTAAACTGAAGATATTCTTTCTTTAATTAATAACACTGACAAATCAACCTTGTAAATGAAATTATAAATTGCGTTTTCATTCTGTTGTGTATGAATTTTGTTAGTGTTTATATTCAAGTCCCATAGTTGACGGGTAAATGCCAGTAAATTCGGCTGAATGGCAATTCAGTCCGCGATTCAAACGTCGTGTTTTGGTGATAGCCGACTGATTGGGTCCCTACGCATTTTTGCGATGCATGGCTTATCCTCCATCATGATCTTTCTAAAATATTTACTTCATATCAAGACAACATGTGTCATGGAATCAGATGCAGTAGTCCACGGAATCAAATACAGTAACATATGTACACTTGATTTGTAGATTAAACTTCAGACCCACATGAATGACAAAAACGTCGCGTTATCTTTCAATTATATCAGCAGTTTTCAATTTATATGTCATTTACTGTTGTAAGACAATCTTTCTTTGACGTACGTGAAAGTCTTGATTACGCAGCGCAAAACTGTAAACCAAACCGCATTCAGATAATCATCAGAGCGATTTCATGCAAAATTTAAGGAACCGAGGAACTGGGGAGCCGGGAACCATGCCCCCACTCCCCCCCCCCCCACACACACGCATACTTCTTCACCAAGTTAAACAAAATAACGTAGTTGCTATACATGGTTAAAATAATCTAACTACACTATAGGCTTCGTTCACTTATGTAACCGACCCCACAAACTTAATTGGTCCCCGGTTGCACACCCACTCCCAAGCAAACACACTCATAAGCGTGGCTAATACCGTCTCCTGGCGAGTCTTGGGGGGAGCAGTTGAAAATTTTTCCCAATTGAGGAAGATTGTTAATAAAATTAATTACCTGAATTTAACAGAGGAAATATTAAGAAAATTCAGCAGATTTATAACATTTGCCCAGATTTTCATGCTTCTCTAAATTGAGGGGCAACTGCCCCCTGTTCCGTACGCAGTCACTATAAAAGTTAGAGTTGAAAAGAACTGTGCCGTTCTTTTACTAAAATCCCTGTTCACTGCATGCGGGCCTATCATAAGAATTTTTAATGATCTGAGTGCATACACATTTCAGAGAATGTATGCATGCATGCAGGGTATGCCATTTTAGGAAGCGCTCATTTTCAATGGGGGTTGGAGAAACTGTGGTTACATTTCAGATGCAGGCGATCCTCTTTTGGAAAATGTTAAATCTGAAATGCCATTTCCTTTATTCTGGGAAAATTTTATAAAATTTTAAAAACTGTCTGTTGTCTATTTTTATTCAAATTTTCTATTTCTATTCAAATTCAGTTTATATTTTAAAATTCCACATTTTGAAAAATGAGCCAAATACTGTTTTTGACGGTTCAGTTTTAGTTATTTTGTACCTTTGTGCATGGTCTTTTATAAGTCTGACTCAGTATTATTCAACATTATATAGCTTTGTCTTAATTGCAACAAGTTGAAACTTTCCACAAAGTATGCAATATACTTCACACTATAAAAATAGACCTTGCTCTTTTTATTTTTGTATTGAGTGAAATTTGTCGAATCAGTAATACAGTATACGTAAACTGGTTCTAGATAAATATAACAGGATATCGATCTATATATATGTGCATGTGGTTCTGGATAAATATATAGCATGAAGTCATGTATATTATTAGCACTGCATAATGAAAATCCATGCAAAGATTGAAAACTTTGCAATGAAACTATACGTGTTGTTTCCACAAACCAGAGCTAATACTATTGCATTTAAGTTAACTATACTTTTCAGTAACTTTTTGTAGTTTAATTAAATTGGAGTTTTATATTGAACGAATATCTCATTGGTTAACCTAGGTACTAACTATAAAGTCAGTTTTGTCTACATTTTAATGCAAGTGGCCCCTGGCCGTATCATGATTGCAAATGATGCAAATAGAATCCGTTGCGCGGATCATTTGAAAGTTTGAAAGATTCTTTTCTATTTTTGCTCAATTAATGTGAAGTGACTATAATTAATCATTGGTATAGATTTTATCATAGTGTTACAAAGATATAAATAAGAAATATGCTCTGATACGATGAAAATATGCCCCTTTAGACATTTTTGGAATTGTTTAGATGACAAGCTAAGATAGACATGCACAGATATGAAAGTATTTATATTTGATATAGAGGGGTTGAATATGTGTTGGTGTTTAAGGACCGTTAATTATTTATACCATAAGGTAGGGTGGGAAAAAATGTGGGAATCACACAATGTTCACCTTGATCTATGGGAGTGAGGTTGTCGGAGTCTCGAGTCTTTGGAGTGGACCGACGATGCCGATGTAAAAAACATGAAGTGAAAAAATGGTGCCGGCTACCTCTTCGGAAAATAAAACATGTCTGTTGAATGGGAAATTTTTGTTAAATATGAAGTTTTGGATTGTGTAAAATTCAATGTAAACAAACGTTCTGTAGCTCCTATATAGAGTATCGGAATCGGTGTTTTCTTCGTATAGTCAGACATTCACATATTAAATAGTGAAGATTACAATCGCATCATGTATAATGTCTGCATGCAGGGAGCTATATATACTCTCTAAATATTTAGGAAGGTCTTCATTATTAAGAATATGATCAAAAGGGGTGGAGGGATCCATGAGAGTTTTTAAAAAAGAATCTCCCACATGTGCAGCGGTACAATCCGCTGTGATATTCGGAAAGTTTGGGGGTGGTTTATTTATAATCTATTTGGTTTTATAATTTATAAATAGCAAATGAACCTGATAAAAGTAGTCATGCAAGGGAAAATATGAAACGACTTAAAACCGCGCTTCTTGAATCAGTTGCTGAAATTTGACTATTAATTGAATTTTAGGAAACAAATAGGAAAGGAAGACAGCAAAACGACAGTATATTTGATCAGCAGAGAGTATGTGCATGTGTATCAGTTTGTCGGGTTTAAAACGAACGCTTCCGTGAGATGTATTGTAGCATGCATGTATCATGCATGTTTTCTGTAAATAGTTAAAACGATCATAATAATGTGGCTTGATTTAATGTCGCCCACTCTTATTAATTAACAGCTATGTTCCCTTATTTCCATTTCTATACGAACCAAAACAGTAGTTTCTTCAAATCTTGATCAATTTCAAATTAAATCATTCAATCCTTCATCACAATTATATTATTATTAAATTACAGACAACTGACAAAAACCGACTAAATTATATAAAGGTGTGGTTTGCTTTAACATACATGCAGGAGATAGCTAAGTAGCTGTAAAGTATTATAATATACACCAAAAATAGCTAAACTGATTTCTACGTTATAAATAATAATGTAAAAATAAAAATAATAAATAGAAATAATGTAAAAATAATAATTAAAATAGCTAACCATGTATTTATTTATCGGGGAACTAAGAGAATTTATTTGAGGTCATGCAGTGCCGCAGAGGTACAAAGACGTACTCAGGACGGGTACTGAAAAGGGCAAATGTAGTAACACCTTACTGCATGCTTGCATGCATGCAATTTCTTGATTTATGTCATCAGCAGTTCAATAATATATTACTCGGTTACTCCTAGTCCTAGAAAGCATACATTTACCAATACCAAAGTTGTTGCATTCATGCAGAAGGGTGGAATTATTACATAAACTGTTACAGAACCGTGCGTGCAATTAGCTGAACTTTGCGCGAGTTATATATTTATCGCGGTTTCGCGATACTGTGGACAGTAGTTAATTAATAGCGTGCCAATTACTTTATGTAAGTAAGTGTAAGCTAGTGTGGGTATATTTAAAGAAATTACCTTGCAGCCATGAAGGCTCGTGAATTACGTAATTATTACAATTAATACTGAGCTAAAACCAGTTATGTACGTATGATATCATAATTCTTTGGTAAAAATTTCTAGAACCGCTGAGTATTTTAATAAAATACAAAACAACTGTAACTCCAAAAGTCGATTTTTGGAGTTACACTTGTTTTGTATTTTGGTAAAAAAATATGAGCTTTGCGATTGATCCTACCGCTTGCCAGCCCCTTTGTCAGAAAAAAAACCAGTGAACTTCCACAAGCCACCATGGACGAATTTTAATACGGAACGGAATAATGTTTCTATTTTCCCGCACGTACTAACGAATAGGACTAAAAATGTCTTTCAAAAAATTTCCATTAGTGCATGCGGCCAAAGCAGTTTGTTTACAATTAACTAGTCGTTCCAGCTCCAGATTGAAATCATATCTGCAGTTGGCTTCAGATTCTCCAATCTGGAGCTGCCAATCTGGAGCCGTCTAACTTGTCATAATAGCGCATTCTATATACTCAAAATTATAGG